TGGTAGAGGCTGCCCTTTCTTCGAGTAAGGCATCGTTTGCATGGCTTCCTTATCAGCGAGGTCAAAGTGGAGGGAAAAGCAAGCAGAGCAGTGACACGGTTCCGCTGCTGTCGCTGCTTGGCCCTATGGCTCTTGGCGGACACTCTCATTAACACGGCGATGCAGACATTAATGAGCAGAGGGTTTCATGACTTCACAGCTGTATTCTAGGCTCCAATACAAAGTCAGAGTTGGTGTTTCCTTTTAGCAAAGGGGCGATTTTTTTCAAACTTTCCGAGTAGATGTTGTTCCTCCGCAGTACTTCATCCTAGTGCACGGTCTCTCTTTAAAGCCAAGTGATTTTCAGCACATAAGAAAGAAGGAGCTCTAGGTTTCTTTTAGGTGGCAAGTGCAATTAGCTCATATTAAAACCTAGCCACTGAGAAGATTTAATTGCATAGGGGGCCTTGTTGGTTTGTTTGTTTTTGCTTAAGCTTCCTCTGGTGCTACAGTACTAATAAATTACCCTGGAGAGAAATAAATAAATAGGTTGGCATCTCCCAGGCACCCTGCTGGAAATCCAGAGGGTTTCAGAAAAGCTGCCCCTCGTGGTCCTGGGAAGGTACTCGGCGAGAAAAGTCTGTATTATACAACTGTCTGTACAGGAGCGACGCACTGTGCGGGAGAGCCGGCTCTCTCCGAGGACGAGGTGGAACGGTTGGTGATCTCTCTCTGCAGCTCCTCCACTTTCCTCTGCAGCTCAGCCCGCTTGGCAAGAAGCTCCTTGTAGCGACTGTGGACAGGTTCCTGCAAGAAAGCGTGTGGCTGAGTGCGGGGAGAGAAGCTTGGGAGCAGAAACACGGACCACAGGATGTTGTCACTGACCCAGCACACAGCTCTGAGGGAAGGCGGGATGGGATGGGATGGGATGGGATGGGATGATATCGCTGCCCCCAGCCCGGGCGGGAAGTGAGGAGTCACTCTGGCTTTGGGATACTCATTTTTATCCATCACGGATAACGGAGGCTAAACAAAACTGTGTGTTTTGAAAGACAATTGGGAGAACTGTGATCTCTTGACATTTCTAGGGGATGCTGACCTTGACATCTCAGCCTAGCAACATATTCAGGGCTTTAGGGGAAAAAAACCCAATACAGATTTATTGAAGTATTTTCACATAGTCCTGAGTGTTAAGCAGTGAGTACTGCAAAGTGTTTGTTGGGTTGCTGTGTCTAATGCCCCAAATTTGCAAAACTGTTAACTGCAATTGGACATAGAGGCAATTCAGGACTTCTTGTCCCTTCCCAGTGACTTTGGCATTCAGGGGTCAGACACTTGTCTCTGGTGCCTGCCCTTGGCAAGCCCGTTTCCCTGCTGTCAGGGTTCAAGAGCGTGACAGGGTTGCAGTCAGACTCCCTTGTGCCATGGGAAGCCAAAGGAAACAGCAGGTTCCTACTACTTGTAGTCTAAATCCTGCCCCAAAGCTCAGATCTAGAATCCCACATCTAAAGAAGCCTTAGGGTTTTAGGCTCTTTTTATAAAGAACAGAGAATAGGGGGAAAATAATTTGAATTCTCAGTGCAAAGTTTTCCACCCTGCAGATCTCACAGAATCACAGAATGTCAGGGGTTG